GTGTGGATGTTTCCCAGAGATGGGTTGCGGCTGGAAGGGCATCCGCTGCATAAAAAACTTGCTGGATAAGTTGGCGGTTCATTCCGCTGTGGCGACCCCGGATTAATAAAGGGACTAAGCCGACAAGAAAATGAATAAATATCATAGAACACACAACAATCTATTCTGTTGAAATTTGTTTTTATATCTATGCAACATTGATTTTGATAACGTGTACACAGTAGCACTAACAATGTGAGAGCAAGCTTTTGGCCAAGGACAGAACAGAAGTAAAAAGTTAGGGCTGCACAATGTATCATTTCAGCATCGATATCGCAATGTGTGCATCCGCAATAGTCACATCGCAGGATATGCAATGCTGGGATTATAGTGTAATATTGAGTTTAATCAGAATGAAGTAAAAGTGTATCATCTACATCAGGGGTGTCACGATTTCGATTTTTAATCGAAATCGATCGAAATTCATGCTCAATTTCGATTATCGAATCAAAAAATAGAATCGTCGATGCTGCCACGCCCCCATGTCACGTCAGCTTGGCTTGCCAAGCGGGAAAAAACAGGCTTGTTGAAGTGCTTGTTAAACTGCAGAAGCAGGAGACCCGTCGACAGAACTTAAACCCTCTCCTCTTTCAATGAAGTCGCCGGTGTGGAAGCATTTTGGATTTCCAGTGAGTTATGTTGACAACGTTCGTGTTGTCGACAAAAAAAACACACAGTTTTGCAAGCTCTGCTATGTACGTATTATGTACGGTTCGTCCGATAGACAACACCGGCATCGCGATCCTCCGCCCGCCCCCGTTGCAAATCCGCTTGCGAAAAGTACACACTCAGGCCCTGTTTACACTGTCTTTGTTTTTAAATGGCATTTTAGAACGACAACGATTTGACATCCACAGTGGCGTGTAGCATTTCTGAGCAGCCCTCCTTCCTCTCTACCTCTGAAAATGCACATCACGTGACCACACAGACACACACAGCCATGCGCTCGAGACAGCAGGTCCAGGCAGTCAGAGGACTGCTTCAATCTTTCACTCACTTGTACTCAGTCATTTTAGCGAACACCTCAGATGCTGTTGGCTGGTTCCTGTTGGTTGTGCGTCTTTTTTTACCGACGCCATTATAACGACACACATCACTGCCTATTCACGAGTCCCGCAGAAAAAGTGATTGACAGGTGGTGATTATGTGTGTATCTTGCCTTTATTCATTTACTGTATGATTTGTTTATGGGTAAAACAAAGACCATGCAGGTCAGGTAGTTTAAACGGTAGGCGACAAATAATTAATTGGTCATTAATTAATTAATTATTCATAATCGAAAATCGAATCGAATCGTGCCTTTAGAATCGAAAATGTAATCGAATCGAGGATTTGGAGGATCGTGACACCCTTATTTGTTAAGCAAGATTTCTTTTCATTGGTGTGTTGGCCAATTTAAAGGCTAAGTGCATGTACCTAGACCTATAGAGTGCTGAGATGTTACGATATTACCGAGGACTTTATTTCTTTGTTCCAACTTCCAAGTGGCCTATAGTCTACGTTTGTTACGAATCAATGATGTTAAAACATATAAATGACTCATTCTTGAAAAACTGCATTAGAGCTGTGTGCATGAGCACATTTGTATAATGTCGGGCTGTAAACGGGTTCGGGCTTTATAAAGCTGTCAATCAAAATGTACCTGTCGGACTCTCTTTCTCTCTCTCTCTCTCTCTGACCGCGAACCTAAGGTCGCATAGAATAAGATTATTCTGCCTCTGAAAAAGCTTAGAAGATGGTGTCAAGGTTCTAAAAGTTTTTGATTTATTTATGTATGTTTGACTTTTATTTAATTAATTAATTTATTTAGGACTTTTATTTTTATTTATGTATGTATGACTTTTATTTATTTATTTATTTATGACTTTTATTTATTTATTTATTTTTATTTATGTATGTATGACTTTTATTTATTTATGACTTTTATTTATTTATTTTTATTTATGTATGTATGACTTTTATTTATTTAAGACTTTTATTTATTTATTTGTTTGTTTTTATTTATGTATGTATGACTTTTATTTATTTATGACTTTTATTTATTTATTTTTATTAATGTATGTATGACTTTTATTTATTTATTTATTCATGACTTTTATTTATTTATTTTTATTTATGTATGTATGACTTTTATTTATTTATTTATATATTTATTTATTTATTTTTATTAATGTATGTATGACTTTTATTTATTTATTTATATATTTATTTATTTATTTATTTATTTTTATTAATGTATGTATGACTTTTATTTTATTTATTTATTTATTTATGACTTTTATTTATTTATTTATTTTTATTAATGTATGTATGGCTTTTATTTTATTTATTTATTTATTTATTTATTTATTTATGAATTTTATTTATTTATTCATTTTTATTAATGTATGTATGACTTTTATTTTATTTATTTATGACTTTTATTTATTTATTTTCATTAAAGTATGTCTGACTTTTATTTTATTTATTTGTTTATTTATTTATGACTTTTATTTATTTATTTATTTTTATTAATGTATGTCTGACTTTTATTTTATTTATTTATTTATTTATGACTTTTATTTATTTATTTTTATTAATGTATGTATGACTTTTAATTTATTTATTGTTTTATTTATGACATTTATTTATTTATTTATTTATTTTATTTTTTTTATTTGCGGCCATATTTCCTATGGTGTGGGAGTAAAGAGAGAGAGAGAGAGAGAGAGAGAGAGAGAGAGAGAGAGAGAGAGAGGTGCTGTGCGTCACTTGTCTCTCTCTCTCTCTCTCTCTCTCTCTCTCTCTGACCGCGAGCCTAAGGTCGCATAGAAGGTATTCAGTTTCTGAATGGTTTAGGCTCAAGCCAACAGTTTGGTGACGCTGTCTGAGCCTTACGTCATAATTTTTTTCATTACGCCGGTAATACCGGATACCGGTGTAAAATATGGAGGCGGTTTGACGGTTTCAAAATTTAGATACCGCCCAAGCCTAGTTGAAATCAGAAGTTTACACACACTGTATAAAAAGGCACATTACCATTTTAAAAAAGTCAGATGTTAATGTGACTAAACTTTTTCTCTTTTAGGCAAGTTAGGATTATCACATGCTTAATAGCAGAATAATGATAGAGAAATTTTTAAGAAATTGTTAAAACTTTTCTTCAAAGTCAAGATCACAAACAATAAGATTATTCTGCCTCTGAAAAGGCTTAGAAGATGGTGTCAAGGTTCTAAAAGTTTTTGATTGGCTAATTGACAACATTTGTCAATTCAAGCACACTGCTTCCTTGTGTGACAACATGGGGAAATCAACAACCTGGAATCAACAAAAAAGCCAGATTACAATTAGCTAAATTACACTGGAAAAAACAATAATTTTTGGAGACATGTCCTGTGGTCTGATGGAGCTAAGATTGAACTGTTTGGCCATAATGAGCAGTGTTACATTTGGAGGACAAAGGGGAAAGCTTACAACCCTAGGAACACCATCCCAACTGTTAAGAATGGGGTGGCAGCATCATGTTGTGGGGCTGTTTTGCTGCAGGAGGGACTGGTCCACTTCACAGCATAGATGGCATCATGAAGAAAGAACATTATGGAGGAATACTGAAGCAACATCTCAAGACATCAGCCAGGAAATTACAACTTGGCCTCAAATGGGTCTTCCAAACAGACCATGAGCCGAAGCATGCTGCCAAATTAGCTCAAATGTGCTTTAAGGACAGCAGAGTGAATGTTTTGGAGTGGCCATCACAAAGCCCTGATCTCAATCCTATAGAAAATATGTGGGCAGAGTTGAAAAAGTTTGTGCGAGCAAGACAGCCTACAAATCTGACTCCGATACACCAATTCTGTGACGAGGAATGGGCCGAAATTTCTTTAAACTATTGTGAGAAGCTTGTGGAAGGAGACTCAAAACATTTGACCAAAGTTTTACAGTTTAAAAGCAAAGCTAAACAAAATACTAAGGAAATTAATGTAAACGTTTGACTGTCTAGAAATTAACACAAATTTCTAAAAAAAAAAAAATTCTTTCATTATTCTGGCATTAAGCAAATGTAAACAATTTAGGTAATCCTAAGGGACCTAAAAAAGTAAACGTTTAGTGTGATCAGACACTTAAATTAAAAATGGTTGTGTTCCTTTTTTAGAGTGTGTGTAAACTTCTGGTTTCAACTATATGTATATATATATATATATATATATATATATATATAGCTAATAAACATGACTTTTCTCTAGGGTAATGTTATATCACAAGAAATGTCACAATACTCAACTGTCACATATTTTAGCATAGTATTGTGCAGCCCTAGTAATTATACATCTTGAAGAACATGCAAGTGACTAAATGATAACGGAATATTTATTTGAGGCTGAAGAAAACCTTTAACAACACTAGTTTTGCAGTTTTCATTCAGTACTGGAGATGTGCTAGATGACACACTAATAGCAATGGTGAGAGTAGGTGCACAATGACTCCACTGTCACCAGGACATGGATCAAGTTTCAGGCTGACCTGAAGGCATTCGACCCCCACATGCTGTTCACTACATAGGGCTTGTTGTTTCAAGACCAGACGAACAGAGGGGCTGAACGTATTCCCACAGGAGCTCCCTAGCAGACACTACAGTGCACACAGGCTGTCAGTGGAGGTTATATTATGGTTTCAGGGCAAGTGCTGGATGCAGAACTGCTGCCAAAACACACCTGCTACCTTCGGATGTGCAGCTTTGCATGTAAAGCTTGTAAAATAAGCTGCCTTGTTGGTATATTAATGCCTTCGAAAACCCCTAAGTAGTAAGTGTAATTAGAGCACGGCCAGAGTGATAGCATGTCACTGATGTAAAGCCCTTATGAATAATGCATTACCGCCTCATTAACATAATGACATAATACGTCCGAATTGGTGTTGATGCAGTAAATAAAAGCAAACAATCGTAGTTATAAGCGCAAGATGGCTGTCTAATGTAAGTGCACTCACATGTCCTGAAGGGATTGCGTCTGTGACTGTCATGTATCCCGCTCCTCCTTCAAACAATACACGGATATGGTTGATATTAAAGCACGATCACACAGCTCGCGCTTTCCCTCTTGATAAGCATGTCTTTCTCTCAATTAATTAGTCCTCAGTTAACGACAGTAACCCGGGCCAGACAAAGACACGACAGAGCCACCGGCTGCCACCATCCCGCTTCATGATTGTGATGTTGGGAGAAATACGGTCCCTACTATTGCGACGGTTTAGCTCATGAATATTAATAAGGTCGCCCTGACGTCTCTCAGGTGCGTTCCACGCACGTCGTTCAATTAATATTCATAAGACAGTACTGTCGTTTGTTTATTCGTCGCCTACTCAACGCCCGCCTACCAACCGCTGCCTTTCAGCCAATCAGAGGGCAGTTAATCGACTAATACGTTACCTAATTAATATTTCACGAGGTAAATGCTCGCCATAGTAGGACTGGTCAACCAACAACTACCCTCCTGTCAGATTAGGCGGAGGCTCAGGCCGGCTCACGCAGGCGCTGTAAAGTATTTCGGGATAAAACGTGGACCAAGGTAACGTTATTAATAAAAATGTGTTTTTTTTTTAATCTAAAGTAAATCAAATCACAGTCGGTCTAACTGTTCAGGATATTATTCTTGAGAGCAGCGCCGCGCATGCGTAAATTAAAAACATCCCACATTTAAAAAATACTATGATGAAGAAAATATAGTGTTTTTAACCATACTATTAGTAATTATACTGTATATAATATTTACAACAGATATTGAACGCCACAGCCTACAGTAGTATACTATTGTAAGCTAATAAACTGTAATAAATAGTATTCTTTAGTTTTTACTATAGTAAACTGTGGTGTTTCATAGTATAATACACCCTATTGTTGTAGAGAACTAGAGTATTGGGTAGTTTTATTTATATTACGGTTGTATTGCGTAAAACTACTTTAGTATAGTGTGGTTCACTATTCATTCATTCATTTTCTTTTCGGCTTAGTCCCTTTATTTATCTTGGGTCGCCACGGCGGAATGAACCGCCAACTTATCCAGCGCTATAGCCTATAGATCTATAGGACTGTGGGGGAAACCGGGGCACCCAGAGCAAACCCACGCCAACACGAGGAGAACATGCAATCTCCACATAGAAACTAGCCCAGACCTTCTTGCTGTGAGGCGACAGCTCTAGCCACCACGTCGCTGTTCACTATTTATTTACTCTAAATTACTATAGTATTTTTTCATATGGGATTTAAACTCTGAACTGCGTCACTACATCTAAACTACAAATTACTGTTGTTGGTAGGGCCAACACATACGAATAAGCCTCCTAGGAAGGCAACTCACAAGGGCGCTGTGGGGGAAAGTTACTTTTGAAAGTAGTGCATTACAATGTTGAGTTACTGCCCCCATAAAGCAACTCATTGTCTTACTAAGTTACTTTTTATGGAAAGTAATGCATTTCACTGTATTACTTTTGAGTTACCTTTGCGTTACTTGTCCTTACCTGGCTGAGGTTTGATCTCTTTTAGAACTTGCAGGTGTTTTTTCACTTTTTTAGAGAGAAGCTCTGCATTTAAGAGCACCTATTTAAGCTGCACCTTAATTTTCCTTTAAAAAAATGTAGGTCAAATTAAATTTTGAGAAGTTTCTGAGCCCGGAGCTGTACCTGCTGTATAAACAGATTAATGAAAGCATGTAAAGTAATGGGCATCATGGTGGTGCAGTGGGTAGCATGTTTGCCTCACAGCAAGAAGGTTGCTGGTTCGAGCCCCGTCTGGGTCAGTTGGCGTTTCTCTTTTTTATTTATTTTTTGTAAATTTAATTAATTTACTTATTTATGACTTTTATTTATTTATTTATTTATTTTTATGTATGTTTGACTTTTATTTAATTAATTTATTTATTTATGACTTTTATTTTTATTTATGTATGTATGACTTTTATTTATTTATTTATTTATGACTTTTATTTATTTATTTTTATTTATGTATGTATGACTATTATTTATTTATGACTTTTATTTATTTATTTATTTTTATTTTTGTATGTATGACTTTTATTTATTTATTTATTTATGACTTTTATTTATTTATTTTTATTTATGTATGTATGACTTTTATTTATTTATTTATTTATGACTTTTATTTATTTATTTTTATTTATGTATGTATGACTTTTATTTATTTATGACTTTTATTTATTTATTTTTATTAATGTATGTATGACTTTTATTTATTTATTTATTCATGACTTTTATTTATTTATTTTTATTTATGTATGTATGACTTTTATTTATTTATTTATATATTTATTTATTTATTTTTATTAATGTATGTATGACTTTTATTTTATTTATTTATTTATTTATTTATTTATGACTTTTATTTATTTATTTATTTTTATTAATGTATGTATGGCTTTTATTTTATTTATTTATTTATGAATTTTATTTATTTATTTATTTTTATTAATGTATGTATGACTTTTATTTTATTTATTTATGACTTTTATTTATTTATTTATTTTCATTAATGTATGTCTGACTTTTATTTTATTTATTTATTTATTTATGACTTTTATTTATTTATTTTTATTAATGTATGTATGACTTTTATTTTATTTATTAATTTATGACTTTCATTTATTTATTTATTTGTTTTTATTTATGTATGTATGTATGTATGACTTTTATTTCATGTATTTATTTATTTATGACTTTTATTTATTTATTTTTATTAATGTATGTATGACTTTTAATTTATTTATTGTTTTATTTATGACATTTATTTATTTATTTATTTATTTGTTTTTATTTATGTATGTATGTATGACTTTTATTTTATTTATTTATTTATTTATTTATGACTTTTATGGCAAATTACAGTAAAAAAGAAGACAAAACAAAAGTATATTTCAAAAAGTATAGATAGCATCAACTTAAGCACATACAATGAGACTTGCTCTGCAGTTGACAATAAAACATGTTCTTGGATATATTTCCTGAACGGGTCCCAAATTTTCTTAAACTGGTTAGATGAACCTCTAGACCAGTGGTCACCAAACTTGCTGGTGTCCTGCAGATTTGAGCTCCAACCCTAATCAAACACACCTGAACAAGCTAATCAAGGTCTTACTAGGTATACTTGAAACACCCAGGCAGGCGTGTTGAGGCAAGTTGGAGCTAAACCCTGCAGGGACACCGGCCCTCCAGGACAGAGATTTGTGACCCCTGCTCTAGACCAGAGGTGTCCAAACTCGGTCCTGGAGGGCCGGTGTCCTGCATATTTTAGTTCCAACCCTAATTAAACACACCTGAACCAGCTAATCAAGCTCTTTCCAGGTATACTAGATTTCCAGGCAGGTGTGTTGGAGGAAGTTGGAGCTAAACTATGCAGGACATCGGCCCTCCAAGACCGAGATTGGACACCCCTGCTCTAGACAGTCTAATTTTTTCCAACTTTACAAAGAAGAGGACATCACGGATCCACTGTGTTGGGGTTGCAGGTTTCTGATCCTTCCACCTAAGGCCAACCCTGTTCCTGGAGAGCCACCTTCCTGCAGATTTCAGTTGCTATCCATATCCAACACACCTGCCTGTAATTATCACGTGGTGTTCAGGTCCTAACTAATTGGTTCAGGTGTGCTTGATATGGGTAGCAACTGAAATCTGCAGGAAGGTAGATCTCCAGGAACAGGGTTGGCCACCCCTGCTCTAAGCAATGTTAGTCGTTTGGCCAGGAGCACAATAAAGGCGATGCAATCAGATTGTATTTTTGTAAGATTATATGACGTGGGCGAAATTGCAAAAATGGCAATCAGTGGGCAAGGGGAGTTATATATACCTAAAAAAACAGATATAGTTTTAAAAATAGTGTCCCAAAAGTAATTAAGCTTCATACAAGACCAAAACATACTGTATGCGCATGAGTGGCTGGGGTGGAAAACCAGCGAGTACAGGCCGGATCTATATGCTGAAAGTGCTCTGAGAGATTTTGGTTTGTCCAGTGTACACGATGCACACTTTTGCACTGCAGAAGTCCATGTCTCGCACAGATGGAGGACTTGTGCATTCTGTATAAGACTGATTCCCAATCCTCATCTGAAATTGTGATTCCCAGATCGTCTTCCCACACAGATTTTATTTGGGAATAAGATGTATCAGTTGACGTTTCTGTGTGGAGTTTGCACGTTCTCCCCGTGTTTGCGTGGGTTTACCCTCACAGGTCTAAAGACATGCGCTGTAGCTGAATTGGGAAAGCTAAATTGTCTGTAGTGTATGTGTGTGAATGAGAGTGTGTGTGTGTGTTTCCCAGTGATGGGTTGCAGCTGGAAGGGCATTCGCTGCGTGAAACATATGCTGGATAAGTTGGTGGTTCATTCCACTGTGGTGACAACAGATTAATAAAGGGATTAAAAGAAAATGAATCACTCTAAAGCAGGGGTGGCCAACCCTGTTCCTGGAGAGCCACCTTCCTGCAGATTTCAGTTGCAACCCATATCAAACACACCTGCCTGTAATTATCACCTGGTGGTCAGGTCCTAATTAATTGGTTCAGGTGTGTTTGATATGAGTAGCGACTGAAATCTGCAGGAAGGTGGCTCTCCAGGAACAGGGTTGAGCACCCCTGCTCTAAAGTAATGTGTTTGCTACTTGCTTTCGTGTTATTAGTAAAGTAAATTCACTGTCGATTGAGGTACAGATTGCAATAAAGCTAAAGAGCACTAACATGAAATAATTTATTAAGGCAAAAACAGATTTTAAAATGTTTAATAACGGAATGAACAGTAAGCATCCCTAAAACTAAATAAATCCTTCAGCTTTATACATTGAATAAATCGCTTCATGTGGCCTTAACAAATGTGTAAAGGGGGTCACTGTCATGATCGCCGGCGATCTCTAACCAGCAGAGGTCGCTGGAAAACATTCAAACTCATCAAGTCGCCGGCTGTCCTGCCAGGATTCTGCCGCGCCACAGAGCACCATCTGTTTAGTTTCATTTTAAATAGCATGCGAATGTGCTCCTCTGGTGTGTGATACTTCCAAATGTCATATGCACGCCGTGTCGCGGCGCATCCGGTGTATGACGCCCTTAAATCGTTTATCGAGAGAAGAAATACTACTTTATTACAACACGTTGTAGGAGCCATACATTGTAAATTGGCGTATGGCCGCAAGGTGTCAGTAGGAGACTATAC